ACTCACTGTTTTAGGCACTTCATATGTCTTAACTTGTCTAATTCTAATAACCCTATGAGCAACATACAATTCTTACCCGTATTTTACAGATAAGAAAATGCAAGGCCTGGGAGTGATCGGAAACATGCAGCTTGTAGGTGGCACAGCTGAGTTTCCAACTCAGGGCATCTGGCTACACCGCCCATACTCTTACCTGGGTTTGTCTCTTAGACACTTCCCATTGCGTTGGCTTCTTTCCTCCACCAGTTGTATTTTAGGTGGGCCACGGGCTTAGCCCACGTGTTCCCATCTTTCTAAGCTTGGTCCCCATCCTCTTCCCCTCATATTTACACCAGAGGTGTCCCTGGACACCAGCTGATCAGATGTCCTTGGGCATCCCCCTCCAGAGACGCCCGCCCCCCATGTCTAGGCCACCAGAAGGCATGAGGAGCAAAAATTCTGGGACAGCTGGGGCTATCATGCTGGGGCAGGAAAGGAGGTGGATCAGATGCAGGGACTCAGAGAAGCAGAGGCAGTAGGTAGAGGAGCAGGCCCTCTAGGGCCAGAGGCAAGGGAAGGAGAGCATGTGTCAGTGAGGTGAATTTGAGTAAGGCAGTTTCTGCCCAGAGAGCCCATCTTACTAATTATTTCTTCGCAAAGGAGTGTGGAAGTTGGAAGGCCTTGATGGCGGGGTGGTGGTGGGTGGAGAAACTGACTTCCAGCCACTCCATGTTCTCCATAAGCTAACTCCAAACTCGCAAGGCTGGTTTCCCAGAGACAGGGGGCAGTGAGAAGGCTCTACTGTCGTACCCTGCTCCCCAGCCCGAAATGTCCCCTACTCATCCCATAGGCTGTCAACTCCAACAAGGAAACATTTGAGTCTCTTACTCCAGCAGGAGATCTGAGGGATGTATGGATTGACATGAGTGAATACTCAGAACCTTTCTGTGTTGATGGTGTGGTAGAATTTAGATGCTGAGAGGCATTAGGTGAACATTTTAATAGGTGTTTACTCTGTTTGATGTAACCTCATATTTACTGATGACAAATGCCCTATTTTTAAGAGCTGGGTACTAATTAGGATGTTTAGTCAAATAAATCATACTGCTTTTAAGTTATGACTCAGCTATGAGCATGGGGATTTGCTTTGTTGCTGTCCTAGGGGTCTGCAGAGTGTTTGTCCCTCCATGGATTGCTCAACTGAAATAGGAATTTTATTGATGTACCATTTTCATTCTAAATGTAAAGTTCTACCTACTTAATCATGTTGACAGCATGGTACCTTCCTTAATGAGGCAGATACTTTATTAACCAGATCCTGTAAGCCCAGACAGAGCCCTGGTCAATTTACCTAGAAGATTCCAGGGGCCAGGTGGGTCTCTGAGGCTGCTGTGGTGATGTGGGCAGAGCTGGGAATCAGAGACCTCAGTTTTTATTCAGTCTCCCTCCCTTGTGTGCGCTTTTGGTCGAGTCACTTCTCTGAGCAGTCAATGTCCTCATCTGTACAAGGGCTGTTATTGATTTTATAAAGTCGGGACTGCAGTGAGGATTACAAGATGAACACTGGTTGCCAGGCAGAGCTCAGACATTCGATAAATCCAGGCCTCGTTCTCCACCACGTCAAGTGGGTTGTTGAGCATGCTCAAGCAAGCCCTGCGACCATGCACGCTGACGCAGCTGCGGGCCTCTGGGGCCTTGTGTTATCTGGACCCGCAGTACTCCCCAGGTGCCAAGCCCATGACACACTCCTATGTCTGCTGTCCTCACTTTTCTGCAAAGGTTATCACAAGCCTTGGCCATATTTAAGTCTCAGTATCCCTTTCCTCTAAGAGTTACTTTTGTTTTTGATTATACATGAAAAAAAAACCCAAAAGCTATAAAAATACAAATTGGCAGGATGTTATCAATTCTTGAAGGAAAAAGAAAAAAATAAGTGAACTATGTAAGCAGTGGATTTTTGTGTCTTCCTATGCCTTTCAAATGTGCTGCTATAACATGTATTACAGTGTGTTTCCAAAATAACAGGAAAATAAGGAAACAGCAAAACTGCTGCCCACGCAGTGAATTTTCTCTCCTTCCCCCTCTCCGATCCTATTCCCAGAACAGAGGAGGGGATCTGTCCCTATCCAGGGCCAATCTGATCATCTGTGCTGACTTGCATTGATATTAAGTAAACTTTTCCCTCTACATTCTACCACCCACTCCTTTTTAGTCTAATTTTTCCAGTACTCTATATAAATATGCTTCAGCTTCTCCATATCCTAGCAAACAGACAAGACTCTGAAAGCCCCAACTCTAACTGGGGACCCATAGCCCTCCTCCTTCTTGCAGCCAAAATTCTGGAAAGGCTGTGTGGATTCCAATTTCCAAATCCGTATGACTGACTACTCACCCACTGAGACCTAGTTTTTGTCTTCATGATGCTCTGAAAATTGTTCTTGCCAAGATCTCCAGTGATGTCATCGTTTCATTTCAATCTTTATCCTCTTAGACTTCTCCGAGGCACGTGACACTCTTCATCTTCTCCTTGAAACTCTCTCCTTGGCTTCTATGGCACAATTGTAACGGTAATGACTACAATTTATATTGTGTGCAATACACAGTGTACTGTGGCTACAGATGGTGTCAGTAATCTTCATTTTTACATGAAAGGTAGACATCTCCATGATAACGTTAAGACATCTGGCTTAGAGCATTGAGGAAGCGTATGCTTATATGTGATTGCATGGCTATAAGAGTCAGTGCAGATTTGAATTGCAGTCTTTCTGAATCCAAAGCCCAGGCTTCTCCCCCTTAACACATTTAGCTGCCCTAGATTTCCTCTCCCCTCTGTGGCTGCTCATATTGTTTCCTCTGTGGGCTCATCTTTTTATGATCCCCATTAGCACTGCCACTCTCCCGGACCCTGGCTTGGGCCCTTCACTTTTCTTTGTTCAGTCTTGTTGGAACATCCTCCCTGCACCATGAATTCTGCTCCAGTTTATAAATGCCCCAGCCCAGCTCTTCCTCCACTCGCGACACAGATGCAGCCGTGTGAGGCACTTTAGCTGACTGTTGCCTGGGTTGCTGTGCAGTAGCCCCTTCTCTGCCCTCGTCCTCTTTTGCTAATTTGTTTATCACGCCATCGGTGTAGAGCCTGACCATGGCTCTCCTGGACCTTTGTAGCTTCCCTCCTGACCACATCTCTGACTCTAGCTTTGATTCCATTTAAGCTGCCTTCCACCTCAGGGCCAGACATGATCCTCGTATCACACAACTCCCAGCCTGGCAGACTCCGGCTCAGGATTCCTCGGTGGGGTCTCGTTGTCCAGAGGTGCAGCCTGACCTCCTGTTCGTGGTGATCTCTCATGGTCTCACTCTTTCTTATCTCTCCTCCCCATGTCCCACCACTTCCTGGCAGCTGGCATTCCACATTCCCAACTTGTTTGGACTGTTCTGAATCCACAGTTCTAGCTCATGCCTCTGCACATGTTTCCTCTGTGTAGGATGTTGTCTCTGTGCTGGTGCCTTGGACGGATTCTGTCTCATTTGTCAAATGTCAGCTCAAATATGGCCACTTCTGGGAAGCCCTCCCTGATTTTTCCCAGGGAAAACTCAGATGCTTCCTTTCCTATGTTCTCCCTGTCCTTTGTATAATTTCCTTTTTTGTGTTCTGAATTTTTCTGTTTGGTTCTCTTTTAGACTGTAAGGTTCTTGAGGCAGGCACCATGACTATTTAAAAATATTTTGTTATAAAATACAATGCACTGAGAGGTACATTAAACAGAGTTTAGAGATAAGGGATAATTATGAAGTAAACACATGTGCACCTCTTACCCAGGTCGTGGAATGGAGTACTTTCAGTTCTCCAAGAGTCCCCCATGCCCTTTCCAATCCCACCCATCCCCCCACTGTCTTGGCTTTTGTGGCAATTACTTCCTGGATTTTCTTCATAGTCGTATTACCAGTATGTGCATTTCTAAACAATATTATTTCATGTTTCCTGTTCTTGAACTTTACACAAATGCACTCACACATGTGTTCTGTTGTGTTTTGCTTCTTTCATTCAGCATTGTGTTTGCACGATTCATCCACATACATAGTTATGTGTAATTAGGTTTCTGACTTTTATTGCTCTAATGTGGCATTTCATTATGTAAATTTGCTACATGTTATTTATCTACTAATGGATATTTGGTTCATTTCCAGTTTTGAGCTATTACGTTTCTTCACATATCTTGTGTACCTCTTTTGGCTGCCACGTGCATCGGTTTCTTCAGGGTATAGACTCAGGAGTGGAACTGCCTGTCACAGGGTGTCCATGTCTTCAGCTGGGCCAGATAATGCCGAAGTAGGTGTCACAACTCACGTCCCACCAGAGGGGGCCCATTGCTCCATATCTTTGCCCATCAGTGGTACTGTCAGACTTTTAAATGTTTACCAACATGATTGGTGTGGAGTAGTTTTTCACTGTGGTTTGAATTTGTATCTCCCCCTTACTAATGAAGCTGAACACCGTTGTGTGTTTATTGGTTAGCTGAATTCCCTCTTTAGTGAAGGGCCCATTCAAGATTTTCTTTTTCTCTTGGGTTGCTTGTATTTATTTTATTGTTTTGTAAAAAGCAGTACACTATAAAATCACACATCAAAGATGCACTAATTACAGTATGTTTAAAATAATTTAAAAAATAATTAAAATTTTTTCAATTACAGTTGACATACAATGTTATATTAATTTCAGGTGTACAACACAGTGGTTAGACACTTAAATAACTTATGAAGTGATCACCTCAATAAGTCTAGTACCCATCTGACACTGTACATAGTTAGTACAATATTATTGACTATATTCTTTATGCTCATCCTCATGGGCTATTTTCATAACTGCCAATTTTGATTACAGTATTTTTATTCTTTACCTTAATATTAGTAAGCAGAAAAAGAGTCATTGGAAAACAAATAGTAGTATACATTACTTAACAAATTAATTAAGTCATACATTAATAAAATAAATCAATATCCTGTCCTTTCCTTCTCTGCAGGTGTTATTATTGTGCCCAGTGCTGGTGTCGGTATTGTCCTGGGAGGCTACATTATAAAAAAATTAAAACTTGGTGCAAGAGAATCTGCAAAACTAGCAATGATCTGCAGTGGTGTGTCTTTACTGTGTTTTTCAACCCTGTTCATTGTTGGATGTGAAAGTATTAATCTAGGAGGCATAAACATCCCTTACACAACAGGGTAAGTATCTCGGGAGTGCCATTCCACGTCATTGTGATCATGAGTTAAGTGTCAGTGTCCGGGGGCAGGCCTGCGCCTCCCCCTGAAGCCGGTCTCTGTGCGTTTCCTCTTTCTAAGTGGAGCGTGCACGCGCCAAGGGCGGAGGCCATGACTCTGTCCCTTTGACCTTCACACGGTATCTCCCATAGCATTTCGATTACAGTAGACAAAAAGGAAATGCTTGAAACAGAACCGAAAATGCAGTGGACAGTCAAGAGTCTGGCCCTTACCCAAATCCTCCATCCCATTTCTCCACCCGAAGACACACCAGGTGATGACTTCAATTCCTTGTGTAGCCTTTCAAGGCTTCTTTAGATAACTATGAATATGTATTTTCAATTTTCCCTGCTTTGTAGCCAAAATATAGCATTCTATAGACACTTTGCTGACCTTCTCTTTTAAATGTTAAGATAGTTCTTGGAGATCTTCTGTACCAGTAATGTTTCGAAACATAGCTAAGCTTTGTATGGACACTACTGCATGACAAACATTTCTTCTAAGTGCTTTACATAGAATGACTTATTAATCCTTACACAACCCGACCAGGTAGGTGCTATTCTCCTGAAGAATTTTACAGATAGCAAAACACACGTGCACGCGTGTGTGTGATGTGCTGATAAATGTGTAACAGATGTCTCTCATAAAACAAAACCAAAACAAAAGAAAACAAACAAAATCCCAATCTGTAGCATTTGCCAATTTCAGAGGTGTAACTATTCCTACCATGGCTGATTGCAAGCTACCAGCATGAAGACGCTGAGTTAGGAGGAGATTCCAGTCACACAGCATCATATCGTATTTTTATCACACAGGTATGATAGGCTTACAGAGCCTGATCTGGAGCACAGACCACAGTAAAGTGTGGTAAAAGAATTAGCAGGTGGTAATTTGAGTATTTATCTTTGTTTTTTTTTTTAAAAGATTTTATTAAGCCCTGGCTGGCGTAGCTCAGTGGATTGAGCACAGGCTGAGAACCAAAGTATCGCAGGTTCGATTCCCAGCCAGGGCACATGCCTGGGTTGCAGGCCATGGCCCCCAGCAACCGCATATTGATGTTTCTCTTTCTCTCTCTTTCTCCCTACCTTCCCTCTCTAAAAAATAAATATAAATAAATAAATCTTTAAAAAATAAAAAATTTTCTACCTATTTAAAAAATATTTTATTTATTTATTTTTAGAGAGGGAAGGGAGGGAGAAAGAGAGAGAGAGAGAAACATCAATGTGCGGTTGCTGGGGGCCATGGCTTGCAACCCAGGCATGTGCCCTGGGTAGGAATCGAACCTGCGACACTTTGGTTCTCAGCCCGTGCTCAATCCACTGAGCTACGCCAGCCAGGGCAATCTTTGTTTTCAATAACATTTATTTAATTGTTTTTAATTGTAGTTTTATATGATTTACTTTTTAATAACTGCTGTCCTGAATAAGCAGTTGACAAAATCCCTAAAGATTTAACAGAAGGATTTTGTGACCTAGTGTGTCTGTGTTGCATATAACTCAGGACTTGACCCTACATTTAACACCAGGCAATTTACAGAGCCCGTGCCTTTAGTCACTACAATGATTACATTCCATTTAATTTTATTTTCTAATTTAACTGATTGCCATTTGATGGTCAGTGGGGTTATTTCTAAACTTTAATTATTAAAATAGTGCTGCAATAAACAGCCTCTTGCATATACCACTGCTGTGCACTGTGCATTTGTAGAATAAATGTCCCGAATTAGGGTTGCAACAAACGTGGCCAAATTGCCTTCCCAGTGTTGTACCAATTTGTTACCATCACCAGCAATGGATATGAGCACTGATTTTCCTACAGCCTTGCCAAAAGAAGGTGGAAAACTCTTCTTTGAGACCTATGAAAACCTTAACTTTTATTGCTTGAGTTTGTTGGGGTTTGTTAGGATTTGCTCACTGGACAGAAATTGAGTGACTAGTTTTTGGTGCTTGGTACCAACGAATGCTTCGTTTCCTTTTGACTCTCAGTGGAGTTTTATGTTATAAAATGCTTCGCTTGAAATTTGAACAACAAACTTTTTATTTCATTTAACCAATCTAGAATATTAGAGAAAACAAAAAAGAAACTGCCAATCAGAGCTTATTTAGGTGACAGAATGTGGCCATTTGTCCCCAGAGTTCTTTTCCACCAGATGTTGTGTATGATGCATGCACCAGGCGTGAGGCCTGGTTTGGAAATGCTTTGCCCTCAATGTCACTTCCAATGTCACCGTCTCAGCAAGGCGCCTCCTCACTGCTTGATCCCTGGAAACCCACTCTCCCCCCATTCTTCTCCACCGTGCTACTGTTTAGTGTCCTCATAGCACTAACCTCTATCAGAACTCACCTTTTAGAATGATTTGGTTTGCTCTTATCTCCTGTCTCCAAAGTATGAGCTTCTCAAGAACAGGTGTTATAACTCTTTCCGTAATAGTTGTGTCCCCAAAGCAATGTTTGCTGCATGAATGAATGAATAGCTAAGTCAGTGGCTCAGTGTAGGGCCTTGTTTGTGCCTTGTACCAGGTACTCTCTGAACTCTCTTAATTTAATGTGTATTGTTTTAACCTCACGGAAATTTCTTCTACCATAGCTTTATTCCATCCCTCCTCTTCATTTTTTTCTGTGCTCTCCAGGACTCCTGCAAATCAGATGTATGGGCTGTTTGCCTGTGTGTTTAATTTTTTCTCGCATATTTCTGATGTCTTTAGCTATGAGATTTTTTCCAAACATTGTTTTCTATTTTCTATGTAAATTTTTTATTTTGAAGATTTTTGTTTTATTCTGAGTGTTTCCTTTTGAAAGCATCCTCATGTTGTTTTAAAGAGTAATGTCTTTGCAAATCTCTCTGTGTATATAATTAGCTTTTCTTTAAAAAAACTTTATTTCTATGCCTTATATTTTATCCTTTGATTTTAAGAGTCAATTTTTCTGTTTATTTTGGGCTTTACAGCTTGACAACGCTCAGCCTAGCATCTCTCAGGTTATGTTTCCCCCTCCCTCAAAAGAAGACCAAACAAGTTTTATTCTGAGTTGTTCACATCTAAAACAGAAGCTTAGTTACATTTTTTTCACCTTCCTTAGAGAAGAGCTTCTTGGTGACTTTCTGGGTTCTCAGTTGGGGACGGGATGGGTGAGTGGAGGAAAACGGAAGCACCCTGGGTGCTTTTCTTCCTCAGATCTGCAGTGGGCTCCGTCGTGTTCAGCTACACATTCCCTCTGGCCCTTGTTCCATCTGCTCCAGGTGGGAGCTCAGGGCCTTGTGGAGGTTCCTTCGGGCTGGCTGGCTCCTCTCCACGGTGGCTTCTGCTCATTTCACATGAACCTCTGCCTGTCCACTGGCTCTTTTCATGAAGTTTGGTGTCACTCTTTCCATTGTTCTCTGCCAGTTTATTTCTTTCATTCTTACTTTTATTTTAAGCGCATCCTCAGAAGGAATGGAAAGCAGACTGACTGGAGGTGCTACTTGCTTTTAAACTGCAAGTTGCCTCAAGCCTTTTCAAGCCCTTGCTTAACAACATACACCACTTGCCAGTCCTGCATCAATTGATTTCTGGACTCCCTAGCACGACTGGGCAAAAGTTACGTAATGGTGCTGACTGGCTCCATTACGGATTTATGAGTTCCAATCTTAGCAGGCCTCCATCTCTGCTGAGCAACCCGTTTCCTTGGCTCTAGCTGGCTTCCTTTCCTATGCCCTGTGATGGTGCTTCCATTTTTTTAAAAACCCTTTCTTCAAGTTGTTTTTTTTATCTTACACTACTCTTAGTTTTCTTTTTTTAAATTGAATTTGTTGGGGTGACATTGGTTAATAAAATTTTAGTCTTGTTTTTCTTATTGGACAACCTACTATTCTGCATTTTGGGATAAACTGAGGGCCTAAGAATAAACTCCTTGAACTACTCTCCCCTCTTCCCTCAAACTTCTTTGTCAAATTGTGTTATTTTATTTTTTCCTTTTTTATTTTTAATTTTTATTGTTCAAGTACAGTTGTTTCCATTTTCAATCCACCTTGGCCCCCTGCCCCACCCACCCCTACCTCCCACCGTCAAACCTACCCCCTTTGGCTTCGTCCATGGGTCCTTTATACGTGTTCCTTGATGGACCTTCCTCTATTATCCCCCATTATCCCTCTCCCCCTCCTCTCTGGTTACTGTCAGTTTGTCCTTTATAAATTGTGTTAGTTTCAAAGGCAAGTACTAGTGCCATCATTTTCTAATTGTGACCTTGCAAAAAATTTCCTAATGTGGTCAAATGGTGCTTTCTTCATGTGTAAAATCAGTGATAATGTGAATCATGCCCAGTTAAAAGCATGATTAATGTAACACATATGGTTGGAAAATTAAAATACCACAGAGGGTAGAAAATAAAAAGCCTATTTCTCCTTTCCTCATCCTCAACTTCTAGTACAAAGCATTTAAATATTGTAAACACATGTTTGCAGCTTTGATTTTGAGGATTATACAAAGGAAGGGTTCTGCTATTTCCTAGCATGGTGGTTAGCACTTAGTATAAGCTGAAAAAAGCTATTTTTTTTTTTGGTCTCTACTCCCCTGTCTTCCAGACCATGCAGAGCCACTCTTTTTTCTTCTCTGAAAGATGAATGAATGTTCTGGCATCTCCCTCTGCCCAGGGATGTTACCCATAATGATGCTGAAACTAGTAAGAACTTGATGTAAATAAACCTGAATTATCTAAATTCATGAGTTCTGATATAATTCTTGTGATTTCATTGTGCTCAGCAGGGAAAAACTTGGTTAGGAAGGCTGGAAATTACTGCCCGGATCCGGTCACTCTAGCGTTTTCAGGCTGACCTCGGTGATGGTTATGGCAGCAAAGCCAAAACACTGTGGTGTCCTTGGGGAATTCTTCTCGCTCCCCAAGTTCTTCTAGAAGATAGTCTAAAACTGAATTAGCATAAACGCTTTTGGATGGTTCAGTCACAAAGGTGTGCCACTTTTTTTGAGGCGTGGTTACCTTTGTGTGAATAATAATGGGACCCGTTCTCCAATCAGGGTGTGACTTACATTTCAGCCTCTCCATGGCCCCCTGGCTGAGTGCTCCTGTGGGGGGCACAGCCTGCCCATCAGTATGAGGTTGGCCTGCCTAGTACAGACTGTCTCGTTCTGCATGATTTTGAGACTCACATGTGGGATTTTCTCCTGTTTTGCAGCCAATAAAGAGAGAGATAAAGGGAGTGGCAGTGAAGGGAGGGGCCTTTGTCAGGCATATGTTTTCCGGTATGATGTCTGGCACTTAATAAATGTCTTTTTTATCTAATGCTTACGACCTGACTCTACTGTCTGGATTATTATCCACATGTTTCAGATAAAGAATCTGAGGCTTAGCACTGAAATGATTTGCTCAAAGTCATCAATTAATAAGGAGTGGAACCAAATCCAACCCAGAATATCTATTTCAGAGGTTGTGTTCTTTCTAAATACCACAGTGGTGCTATTTTAAATTTGTATTTTGCACAAGCACACACCTAAGTGCTCACACCACTTCCTTACTAAAAGAGTGATAGAGAATGTATCTGTTTCCTTCAGTAGTTCTCTGTTTCCTAATATTCTGGCACAGCTGAGTTCCAGGCATAAGGCTAAGTGCTCTGCGCATGGACTGCTTTTGCTCTGCAGCTCTCAAGACAGCCAGTAGAGATTTTCACCTTGGCCTTGCCACACGCTAGCTGTGTGAGTTGAGCAAATTAACTTTTCTGTGCTTGGTTTCTACATCTGTAAGGTGTGGTAGTGATAATATCTATCTTGTCAAATGGCTGTGAGGATTGAATAAGGTACTTGGCAAATTTCTTAACCTCTGTGCCTCAATTTCCTTATCATTAATATGGGTTAATAATAGTTCTGGTCTCTTATAGAGAGGATAAACTAGAATAAAATTCTATAGACAATAAACAATTGATTTTTTTCTCATCTTAAATACGAGGAGAAAGAATCTCAGAGGGATCAAATAAGTTGCGTAGAGTCACACGACTAGGAAATGGTAGAAGTGTGATTTGAACCCAGGTTTCTCTGATTACTAATAGAATAGCTTTGACTATTAAACTATTCTGAAGGAAAAAGAAAACATGAAGAAGAAGCCACCAAATAGAAGCAAACTCCATTTATTAAAGTTTGTATGAGGAGTTCCAGGTTTACTAGGAATTTTAATTGGTAATTGACCAGCATGGTGAATTATCTCACATTAAAGGACTTAATGACTGACCCATCTTTGGATTAGCATTGAGTATTCAAGAAGCATCTAGGTGCCTGGGTAGATTTGGGAAGTTTTAGAAGAATGAACTTTTCCTTTTGAGCCAAACATGGAGCCACAGTGGTTCTGTAGGATGAACCTGACATGTTATTAGTGGTTCCCTTAGAAAATTCAGATTTGATAGCTAACATGTAGAAACAACATAAGTGTCCATCAGTGGATGAATGGATAAAGAAAATGTGATGTATACATACAGCGAAATAGTATTCAGACTCACAAAGAAGGAAACTACAATATGTGACAACATGGACAAAACTTGAGGACACTATGCTAAGTGATATAAGCTACAAACAAGTCCAAGTGAAATAAATCGCAGAAAGACAAATACTGCAAGATTCCTATATGAGGTCTAAAATAGTTAAATTCATAGAATTTAACTATCGAAGGGTGGAATGCTGGCTGCCAGGGGCGGGGTGGGGGAGAGGGAAATGTGAAGTCACCGGCCAATCAGCATAAAGTTTCATTGAAGCAAGATGAATGAGCTGTAGAGTTCTGCTGTATGACATTATATCTACTGTCAACAAAATGCATCGTATTCTCTTAAAATCTGTTAAGAGAATAGACCTCACGTTAAGTGTTCTAGCCACAGTAAAATAAAAGAAAAAAATAAACTTCAGATTTGAGAATCTGATGATTCTTTCCCTATAAAAAAATCTCAGGAGCTGTAGCTAATATCCTGGCCCATTTCCAGCTGAAATAATTACATTCCCAACACCCCCAATTTCCCTGCAGTTTGAATTAGGAAATACATTTTTCTTTCCCTTGGTGTTTGCCGAACTGTATGTTACACAGGTGCATCCTAATCATCCTGCAGCCGAAGAGCCAGGATTTGCTGTGAAAACTGCAGCTTACGTAATACTTAATATAAACACTTTTCATAATGTGAGTTATTGCTCTTCATTTTACCTTTTCTTCAAATAGTTTTTTAAAATGGGGTTAAGTCTGATGCCTATGTACAGAATTTTTCACCACTACTGTCTTAATAAATCATTTAGTAATTCTACCTTTATTACCTCTCATTTATCATGTCAAGTCTTTTAACTTAAACTAAAATCTATTATATCACCTTCTGATTCTGTGACTGGAGGCAGTGGGCCAGAACTTTCCTGGGGATACTTGCTTGAGCTATAAATGATGAGGGAGCATTTTCTCAGGTGTCTGTGTTCAGCAGTGACTGGTAACTATGGGATGGAGTGATTTACCCAGTCCCTCCAGGTCCAAAATCTAAGAGGTTGGGATTTTCCCCTGAAGTTACTTCTCTCAGTATAGTTTCAGTGCTCCAAAGTACTAAGACTAGAGGAATTGAATAGGGATAGTCTGGTAATTCAGACCTTGCCTCAGCTTCACACAGGTGCATTCCATTCCCTTTGTCACCACTCCTGGGCTTGCCTTCCTGCTACTTGGTCTCTTAGGTGGTAGGCTGCTACCAGCCCTCTGAGTGACTAACATCTCTGGCCAGGTCACTCCTAAATTCTCTAATTAAACCATTCATCTCTTCATCTGTGTCTCACGGACAGCTTAACCTACTGAAGGTTAAGTAGGTCTTTTTTTTTCCCTCCATTATTTAAATCTTATGGCACCATTCAAAATCTTTCATTTATTATAATATCACTAATGTTAAAGGAAATCTCTAAAAAGTACAAGGAAAAGGTTTACTAAAGGACCTTAGTTATGTGTGTTTCTGGATTATCCTAGCTACATTTTTTTAACTTTTAATTTTATTTTATTTTTGATTTTGGAGAGAGGGGAAAGGAGGAAAATACAGAGGGAGAGAAATATCAATGAGAGAGACACACCCATCAATTGGTTGCCTTCTGTACATGCCTCAACCCGGGACTGAACTCACAACCTGTGCATGTGCTGCTACCAGGAATCGAACCGGCACTCAGTCTGTGGGACGATGCCGAACCAGCTGAGCCACACTGGCTGGGGCTATTCTAGCTACTTCTATTGATAGGCTTAGAGTTTGTTTCTAGCTATAAGTACATGATTTCATCTATTTTTGGCTGTTTTGGAGACACAAAGTTTGTTGTATTTCATTTTAGGAATATCAAGGAGATATGAAATATAAGCAAAATTCTGTCTAATGAGTTTTAAATTTTGTATCCAAGAGCTACACAAACCCACCCGAAATCTATAAAACGATGTAATATATGTTTAAACTTTTTGTTTCAAAAACACCTATGAGTATTATTAAGCTAGGGACCAAATTTACAATTCCATAACCTCATGTTAACATAGTCAATAGAAAATGTTCATCATGCAATGTTAGCGAGAAATAAAATAGAAGTTAGAACTCTGTGTAAAATCTTGTTTGATCATCACTCACTCTGCAGAAAACAGACTGGATTAAAATAACGGTGCACGTGTTTCAATGTGAGGAACACGGCGCAGCCTCTCCTCAGCCCGAAGTGAACCCAGCACGGGGGCAGACAGTGTGCAAGGGCAGCAGTGCGCTGCACTTACCCTCATGTGAAGGGACTGCGCACCTTCCCAATAAGTGAAAGCCTCCCTGACAAGTTAGCCTTCCAAACAAAACGCTCACATTCACTCAGAGTCAATGTAAGTACTAGTCCCAAGCGAGGAACCAGGCCTCACTAATAATGATGGTCTAGAGTCCTACAGCTTTCTTTGATCATTTATTCCAGAACAATTAAAGTCGTTGGCCAAAGGAAGCATGTTGACAACTGTGATTGATGGATTCCATGTTTGTGTCCTCATAATGATGTTACTGATTTGGCCCCTCAAAATTATTTCCTCCATCTTACAGATAAAGGACTTGAAGCCCAGGTTTGTTAAGACCTAGAACCAGGCGTCTGCAGTGAGAACGGTGGGGCCCAGCTATTGAGACAGGGCCATAGCACCACGGAGGGTAGAATTGAGGCAGGACGGACAATTTGCTACAAAACTACTGAATATGTGGTACCAGAAAATTGTAACATTTTCCTTTAAGTTTTATTTTATTTTAAAGTTATAACAATAATTATCAAGAGCGGCTACTTCACAGAACCACAACTTTGACTTAATGGGAATGTCTTCTCTAACATGGATAAATGACTTGATGTCAAGAACTTACTTATTAGTTTTATTTTAGTAACTGTCACTCACGATCTGCCATCTGCTTCTTTTCACTCTTAGACCCTCGCTCACCATGCCTCACAGGAACCTGACCGGAAGCTGTAATGTAAACTGTGGTTGTCGGACCCATGAGTACGAGCCAGTCTGCGGATCAGATGGAATCACATACTTCAACCCCTGTCTGGCTGGCTGTGTTAACAGTGGTAATCTTAGCACTGGGGTGAGTGTATTTCACCAGTTCCTGCACTGTTGCTAATCCAGCATCCTGTGACAAGGGTGTGTTAGAATTCAGAGGAAACACATGACCTCAGACTCCCTTTTCAAGAAACTTCAGATAACCTACAAAATACCCCTGACACAAAACCAGAGGAAAGACAAGTATGCAATGACATTTTTTTTCCTCAGGGATGATTGTAGTGTTTGGGTGGAGCACTTTGCTTCAACATCAGCACTCTCTTACTTTGTGTTTGTTGCCAACTCAGGGAAACTTGATAAGGTTGAGTGCTGGGCATCTCGTTTGCTCCTCCGACAGGACCCTTGTGATGGATCTGAAGGTCAAGATGACCACACAGGTGCTGACTGAAGAGATTAGGAGTGTACCTCCCCTCCCCTGCTGAGAGTCAGTGAAGAGGGGCAGTGGCCGTTTTTCTAGATTTTTGGTTCTGACTTTTTTATTTTTTAGCCTTCAGAGTAAAGATATTTCTGTCAGTTCAAGAATAGGCTATTTTGAGAATTCCTTTCCCTGTGAATTATAAATAGGCTGTAATACTGTGGAGAAAGGTTTTCATATTCTACTCAGTTCCTTATTGAGCCTGGTTTCATTCTTTGTATAAAAACGGATTGTAGGAGGCTTGAGATAAGGCATTATCTTGTTAACTGCATGTTTCTGGAATGTCATACTTGACTTCTGAGTTTTAAACAAAAGTGATAACTTGAGAATTCTTGTTGCTGGCTCCCCATTATATAATTGGTGTGCTCCAGTGTGTGATCAGTTGAAAGAGACACTGAGGTGTGTTTCTCTGGTGGCCAAGCACCCCCCACCCCAGGAGTGAGCCTGTGCCCTGGTGCACAGCCCTCATTCTCACAAAGACGCCAGCAGTCCCTGCAGCTCAAACAGCCACACAGCGTCGACTTCGTGTTTGCTCCAACTGCCTCTCTAAGCGACTGAGAGGCCACAGTGGCAGTGAGGTCCACTGAAGTCCATTCAGTAAAAGCAACATAAATGGCAAAAGCTTAATTGGCTGTTTCATTGAAACACTTTTTTTTGTCCCTTGAATTAGCGGGTTTCAAATGCAACAACCAATACTATCTATGTGCACTGTTACTGGAGTGGAAGCCGTCATGAACGATCTGCATTTACGTTAGGTCCTACTCTGCATTCAGGGTTGTGCGAGGTGCCCTGGTGAGCACAGATGGAAACCAGGCTCGGTTCCTGTTTTTGCGGGCTTCTCCTATTGCGGGCCCAGGAGTTTAAGAGCAATGGAAGCTGCATTTAATTAGGACCGAAAACGAGCACACAAAATATGAATGTTCTAAAGTGGCGTGGTGAAAGCTCCTTGGAAAAGTTCAGGTTTAAACAGTTTTCAGCAGCGGATTTGGGTATTGTTGGATGCACTTTTTTGCACTTATTGTTAACAACGAGGAAGATATTTCTAAGTAAATCGTTTGCATTTTTAAAAAATACTGGAGTTATTGGAGTGCATTGGAACTAAACTTTGTCTTACTATTCGTGTGCTGAATTTTGCTTTTGAATGGCACACAAATGACTGGTCTCTCTAATCTGTCACTTAGATAAGGAATTATACTGAATGCACCTGTGTCCAGAGCCGGCAAGTGATCACTCCACCCACGGTGGGACAGCGCAGCCAGCTCCGTGTGGTTATTGTCAAAACCTATCTCAACGAGAACGGCTATGCTGTGTCTGGGAAGTGCAAACGGGCCTGTAACACCCTCATCCCATTCTTAGTTTTTCTTTTCATAGTCACCTTCATCACAGCATGTGCCCAACCATCAGCCATCATAGTGACACTCAGGTGAGAACAGCATCCAACTTCTTGGGTGAGTTATACATTCAGAATTGCCAGAATCCATGGTCCAGGACCGGGGTCTCATGCACAGAGGAAAACAAGATTAGATTGTGCAGGAAAAGCACTCAGGGGTTTGCCTGGTGAACTTAGGAGAAGTGAGTTTTCCCATGTCAGAAAGGGGAAGGCTGTAACATTGCACGCTCCTGGACTTGCTTTTGTCAGATGGGTCTTACTCTTACAGTTCAGTGTAACTTCTTTTGAGTGCCTTGGGTTCCTGAAGATTCTGCCCAAAAAGGTTCCACTTCAGGAGCTCGTAGCCAGCACCTTGTTTGCTACAAGAAGCCTGGCCCCAGAGGAGTCAGGAAGTCAATTTGGTGAAGTTGCTAAATCCTGCATACAGCAAAAAATATTATCTCCAACCCTGGAGATAGTTACTACCTCCAGGACCACTGACAGCTTATGCTGGGCCTGCAGTTCAAAATGCCAATTTCATTAATTTTGCTATCATATAAAAATTTGGAGTTGAACAAGGAAAGGGCAGACTGGAAAAATGTAATTTTTCAGTTCATGCTGTGCTTTCTTTGCCATACTGTAGATCCTGTTTGTGGGTGTGTTTTTTCTTATATGAGAATGTGGAAGTTACCTTAATGGAAGTCCTATTAACAAAGCTGACACTAGCACATTCCAATCAGATGTGGGTGTCTTCGGCAAAGACTGTGGTGGGCAAAGGAAGGAAGGGAGCAGCGTGGAGGAACCATAACACACCCACGGCAGCTTTAGGGGGCTGTGGGCACACAGCGCATGAAGGAGTCAGGAAAGGAAATGAGTCCTTACTCTTTCTGTATCTCCTCCCTGACCCCTCTGGTGGCCACACTGCTGGGCACCTGGTGGGAAGCAGCTACGGTGATGGCTTTCTTAGCAGGACCCTTGGGCTGCTTGCCTGCCTATTCTGCATAGTCTGGCTTCCTGTCTATGGGATGCTGAGTTAGAGGTTTCCTAGCCAGTTCCTTCCTTGACCGTGGATGACAGCACGTGAAAGGCCTGATAGTTTGTTTTCTCCATCCCCCCATCAGCACACCCTTGTGGAGCAGCATCTCTGTGTACAACTTTGGGCAAATGCTCTGTGAAAATAAAGAAGGTGGAGAATAGATGGCAAGTGCACCAGTCCTAGGGGCTTTTACTTTCTCTGCCTAGGACCTGTGTGCATGGGATAGAAAGGGGAAGGTCCTTCATCATTAAAAAGTACAAATCATTCATGATCTAATTCCTTGACCTTTAATCCTACAGGAGATGTTAAATCATCTTACTCTTTGAACTTTAATTCTGTGAGATATGTTCAGTCACCCAGGTGAGGGCTGCCTAATTTACAGTGTTTTCAAACACGGCAAGTCACCAGCTGGCACCTAACCTAAAACTTTGAAAAAGGAGCCCTTTCATCTTTACTAATTACAAAATCAATAGACTCTGATCTTCCTGCCATGTGGGAATTACTTGGAGCATAAGTTTTAGGAAAAGAAGAGAAAATGAGGTGGCTGGAAGGGATTCATTATTTCCCTAACTTTTGACTTGTTCCCTATATGTATTTTTTATTATATATTTAAAGCATTTTTCTTTACACTTTTCCCTGAGAAATTATGGGAGTAATTTTCAGTGTATATACCTTTCGGGAAAGTACAGGCAAACAGGAAAAAATGTAGTGGTTAGGATAAAATGCTTTATATATTAAACAGAACTGGTTTGGGAAGCTCAGGACCACTTCCTGTACTCTCTGCCCTGACCCTTTGGCCTTTCTTCCATCAGCATTTAAATGGAAACAATTAGAGTAAATTGGAGTTGCCTTGGTGTCTTCATTGAGAATGCGGTATTCACTGGTTTAGCCACCAGCACTCTTGCTTGGCTATTGTTAATAAATTCTAGCAAATTAAATACTTGGGCCTAGCATCTCTTTGGTTCCTGGCTCTGCGCTAAGCAGGGTTTACTTGACAGTCATTTTCTCAAGGCCACAGTTTTAAAACATTTCTCTCTTTCCCTTCCCCTCAGGTCCGTAGAAGATGAGGAGAGACCTTTTGCTCTGGGAATGCAATTTGTTTTATTGCGAACGCTTGGTATGTCCCTCAATTTTCAAATGTGCCTCTTAGTTCCTCTTTGCAGATGGCACATTCTCACTGTCCTTTAACAACGGCAAGTCAGTCAGTCATCACCATTGTAGTAGGGAGGGTTTGACAGGCCAGTGGTAAGGGCACAGCTTCCTCATTTTCTGATTTGGACTAAGAGCTGACTAGTTTTGTCATATGATGAAACAAAACAAAAGTGACTTGAGGTCAGTTTCTTTTTCACTGTGAACATGAACTTGGGCTAAATTCCCCAGAGAATTTTCTGCAGTAAGAAGTATTGGCCCAAGCAATCATGTTGAACTTATGATGTTGGCGTTTTTGTTTCTTTATGCCTTTTTGACTTGAAAGTGATGGGGAGTGGTGCTCATTTTATTTGTGAAAATGTCAGTATCTTCTTTCCAGTAATTTTATTGGATTGGGCAAAGAGTGTGCCTATCAAGTTTTCTGAGAAAAAGAAATAAAATATTCTAAAAAGAAAAAAGAGAGCTGTCCAAATTGATTGCCCTTTACTTATTAACAAGAGAAGCTCCTTAGTGCTGTGTTTATATGGGAAGTTGCAGAGCTCACTGGCCATGAAGAATATCATTCTGATTTTTACAAACACTGCTGCACCCTGTGATGTCTTGTAACAATGCATGGGAAGTAGCCTGTGAAGTAGTAGTCCATTCTCTTGATCAATTTCAATGTATTTTTAATTGACTTCCTTACCATCAGGCATATTTTTCTTTCCTAAGTGGCAGTCTGATTTTTCACAGCTGTTATTTCCCCCAGTAATCAGTATCATTGTTTACAGGACAAAAAAAAAGTTTTCTGATTAAAAATTTTTATTTGTTTTGAAAGGTAAAACATTTTTAAATGGTATCATCTGACCCTTTGAAACCTTAATCATCTCTGAAATTTTCAGTTTGACCTATGTTGTGGTTGATGGCCGGAGACTGAGCCGAGGCTCACGTTCCAGTGAGCCTCAGAGACGTTTGGTATACTGAATGCATAGCTTATCTGTTTTGGTACCAACGAGACATTAAAAGTACCATTTTTTCAAAGCATGCTGGGTAAGGAAATTCTGACATACTTTAATACAGTTAAGAAGTATGCCTTATACTTCTCTTGAAAACTAAAAAGTTATTTTCAAAGAAGAAAATTTGTTTGGCAAAGAGGTAGTTGAATAGGAAAGAAAAAATAGTTCCTCATTTTTTGCTGGCCTGTCTCTGATGCCCCTGGAGTCAGGGTGATTTCATGTGGATGTGGATGTGGAGGTAAAGGTGGATTAACACACAGAAACTATAACATCAGGAGGGCAAACATTTCAAGCACTTGTTATTTAATGCTACCTTAAGTTTTATGGATTGTAAAAAAGTACAGTTCAACACGTCATTTTCTATTTCTCCAAATTCCAAAGCAAAAGGAGGCTTTTAAAGATTTAAAAAGTGCTAAATGTTAATTATAGTGAACATGTTCCCTTTTAAATGAATGCATCATAGTTAAAAATGCATCATCCACAGCCACCTGGGCTATTAGCTCACCTGTTCTCTCCCGCTTCCTCCCTCCCTCCCTCCCTCCCTCCCTCCCTCCCTCCCTCCCTTCCTTCCTTCCTTCCTTCCTTCCTTCCTTCCTTCCTTCTTTCCTTCCTCATTCCTGCCCTCTCATTACTTCCTTCTATAAACTCTTACTGAGGGTCCATGGGCTGTCCTCTTGGTCCTTGGGAGGCAAAGATGAAAAGGAATGGCCCTCGCCATCGAGGTGCTTATGGGTGGCAGATATGCAAACAGTGCGATCATTGAAAAAAGGGAGGTTTATACAAAATGCAATGGGAATATAGTGGCATCTAAGTGAGTAAGGAATTTAAAAGAGGGGTAGGATATTCAAATGCAAGGTGAACAAGTAGGGGGTAGGGATTCATTTTGGCAAATGGGAATGACATGCTGAAGGAAGTTTACTTGGGTAGACTTTCTTATGGGATTCAAGAAATGTCTATCACGTGGCCCAAAAATGAAGTTACTACTACTCATCAGAGCTGTTTCCTAAGCTTTAAAAATGAGTTTTATGCCTGAATTATTTCTGTACCCCAAGTGCCTTTATAAAGTTGCCATTTAGCATGATTTCTGACTTATAAGAGACAACGCTTTCCTCATCCAATACTAGAACCCACAGGAACTCAGTGTACTGAATTTTAGTGGATCATAAAGGCTTCTGGTATAGCCTCTTGAATAGTTAATGACAAAAATCTGATTTTTAAATTTAAAAGGTTTCCCGAATTGCATTTTTTAGCAGTAGACATTTTTATGATCCTAAAAATCAATAACACATTCTGAGTGAATTGCAAACTGAAAGATTTAAAGTATCCACAATTTACTGAACATTTTATAATAAATATATTATGACAACATGCGACAAGTTTAAAAAAATCAAATGACACAAGAAAACTCCTCCCCTCTATTGTATTCAGAGCACACAAAACACCTTGCTAACTTACAAATGTGTTTTCTCTTATCAAATGTGCTAACTATTTTTCCTCTTTTTTCCCCCTCTACACCTGTAGCATACATTCCTACTCCAATTTATTTTGGAGCAGTTATCGACACCACCTGCATGCTCTGGCAACAGGAATGTGGAGTGCAAGGCTCTTGCTGGGAGTACAATGTGACGTCATTTCGTTTTGTCTACTTTGGTTTGGCTGCCGGCCTCAAGTTTGTTGGCTTTATTTTTATTTTTCTGGCCTGGTACTCCATTAAATACAAGGAGGAGGCACTGCAGAGGCAAAGGTGGAGAGAATTCCCTCTGGGCACTGTGAGCGAGACTGTGGGCCACCCCGACGGTGCCGATAAGCACGCCCGGACTAGATCTTGTCCTGCTTTCAGCACCCAGGGAGAATTCCAGGAAGAGACTTGTCTGCAGAAAGGGATCCAATTCACAGCACAGACCTATCCAGGGCCCTTCCCAGAAGCAATAAGTTCCTCCCCAGACCCGGGGCCGGAAGAGAGCCCTGCTGCCGTGTAGCCTCCCTCCCGAAACTTGAACATGGAAGACTTTAGTTTTGTTGGTTGAGTTGAATACTGGCGACTTGAGAAACACCCGTGCCTTTTTCTCTTTCTTTCCTTTTTTAATCTCTAAAGACACAATCCTCAAACCAACAAAGCTCAGTGAACACAGCCACTATTGAATGAGGGCTGGATACCTCAACAAGACTGAGAGCCTTTCTCCCGATTCTCTCCAAGCAGGAGTTTAGGTACACCTGTTACCATTTCTGCTATGTTAATTTCATGCTCATACTCCAATAAGTGTAAGGTCAAGGGACACGGTTAACACAATTACGGAAGTGTAACGGCGATGCATCTTATGAGTGCACACTCCACACAAAGGTGGGCTTGACCATGGCTTTGCATTTACAAATTGAAATCTTTAGATCTGAACACCTACTGTGAGTTCTGCTACAAAGCACAAATGAATTTGCCTCAACTATGCAATTTAATTGGGAAAATAAGTGCAGCATGCTGCTTTTGCTTTCAGAGACTACAGCAGATATGTTTTTGAAAAGAGGAAGCTCTTTGAAGTACTGTTAATAGCATTTTAAGCCATAGCAGAGTTATAAATCAGGTAGGATTTTTCAAATGCTTCCAAGGAACCATATGCATAGTGTGATAAAGGAACACCTACTTCATTTCATAAAACACATTCTCTTTTAGTCTGTCTGCCCCCACTCATAAGGTAGTTAAGGAGGCTGCTAAATCATCTGATAGCTTGAATATAAACTCCAGTATTCCTTCATAAGGGGATTTAAAACTAGTGTGCTAAACAATAGGACTAGACTCTGTAATTTGAGATGCATAATAAGGAAACTCATGGCTTTCTCATCCAAAAAAAATTGCTGCAGAAATTCTTTTAGCTCATAAGGGCTCACATAAGAGTAGCTAGGATTTGTAATCTTGATATAGTTGGAAATAGGAATATAATTGGAAAATAGTTAGAAAAAGAAATTTCAGAGATGTGTGATTGAGTCCCACCCTGTCATTATAATGATCTGCCTGGAAACACTAGCAAATCTGTATTGTTCTCTTTCTTATGCAGAGAAAATTGCTGTGGCTGTTACTGAAATTAAGTCATTAAACCAGGAGAGCTATACCTGCTCTGTGGAAATCACCTTGAAAACAGGAGGAGGGAGATCTGGGAGCTGGACCTAGAATATGATCCTAAGTAATGATTGAAAAATACCAAATAAACTGGTCCATTGTCCTGAATCCTGTTTCATTAGGGTTAGAATAACTTTACACTGCCCTTTGACTCCTTCCTACTGTGACCTTCCTTCCTTCTTTTGGGTTCATTATCCATGATTCTTTCCAGGACCTCCTAGTGCATCACTTGGACTTAGGTGCCACCCAGGATGCTTTCTACGTGGTTCTTAAGGCAGATGACCCCTGACAGCACCATGCACTGATGGCAAGTTAACTCCTGGGAGCTGGCTGCTCAGAAAAAGAACCGTGACCACTCAGGTTTAGGAGGGACTGTCAGGTCCACACGCCAGTGTCAGCATTTCTGCCAAGGAGCCTATGCTTATGTAGGGCTAATCCGGGAAATGGTTTCCTCAGCTGGTTTACACTCTTCCACAGAAGGAACGTGATTAACACAACTGTCCCACGATTCAGGTTTTTGCCCTCCACCCATGGCTACCCTGTGGGGTTGTGTGGCTATTCCTGGGTGCAGGGTTCTTTCCCTCTCTACCTGGGATGGTACCAGTCAAATGGTTCTCTCGGTTGCATGCAGTTTGTGGAGGGTTACCACTCTTGGACTGAAGAATGTCTCCAAGGGCTGGAGCCAGTGGTCTCAGTGACAAGGACTTCCCTTTTAGAGGTCTTGTTTGACTAAGGTATTGTTGCCTACAGTTACTCTGGTGTCCATCAACCTTTGGTCAACATGGTGCATGTGGAAGGTCTTTAGGAAATATTGTTGACCAACCCAGTGTCTACCCTGGGGCCTGAGGGTTCCCATTTCCCCTCTATGGGAAATCTTTCAGCCTTTCAAAGAGAAAGTTTCCTTTTGTGTCGGAGCTACAGACAGGTAGGTTGGAGGGAGGTAGTGTTTTCTTAATTTCTCTCCGATTATTAAGAAATGACATTAAGAAAATTTTGGTGGGATTGTACTTTTTTTTGTAGCTAAGGTAATATGTTCCAACACTGTTACAATTTCTCTCTTCTTGGTAGGTGGTTTTGAAAAGGAGCGCCCTCAGAACTCCAGGATAGGGAATGAGGGAGGCATCAAGTGTAATTAGAGAGCTCCTCCCCCTTTCTCTACCATGAACTGTCACCTGGCTCTGCAGTCAATGACCTCCGAGCACCATTTGACCCATTACCATCTGCCACTCTCTGAAACCCTTTGCGGTGATTAGGCCAGAATGCAAAGAAATCAGCATGAGTTGTACATCACAACATTAGTATTGTACTTCCTCAAGTATCTGGTGCTTATACATAGCAGGTGTATCATTAATGTGTTATTGGTGTGTGCGGAATAAGTAGTAAAAGTTGTGGAATATATACCAAGTAAGAGTTGTCCCCAAAATGCTTTGGGCTCTGGTAGCATCACTGGAATATTACGTAGTCACTAAAGTGATTATTTCACAGATGACACCCTTTGTGTATATGAGGTTCTTAAATGCTTCTTAATAAATTGGTTATGTTACTTTATAGTCACAGCTCCTATTATAAGTTTAATTGCCACTTTCCATGAGCTTAGACTTATAATTCCTTGTTTTGGAAAAGGTCATCTTGTTTCTTAATAAACTATGTAGATTCATATAGTATTTGGCTTTAATATGCAAATATAATATCCTTGACTGTAGCCTATTAATTTAGAAAGCCCTGGGGGTGGGGTGGGGGTTGAAGCTCATTCTTTGGCTATTTTCATTACTAGGAAATCCTGATCCTTTGTAGGTGGCTTTAATTCCTGAAAACAGTCAAAAGTCTTTCAAAACCAAGGCGGGGAGGTGGGGGAGAAGGGAGGGGCAGAGAAGACACAAACTAGCTGACTATTTGCAGAGCATTTTGTCAAGCACTTAATATATATTGTTCATTTTAATCTTCTTAATAACTTTGAAAGAGAACTATTTATGTTCGGTTCTTTTGTTTTTATTGTTTTTTAAGCAGATGGTGAAAACTGAGGCTCTGAGAGGGACAGTGACGCGTGGAGGACCGTGGAGCGGGCAGGCCACGGCTCGGACGTGGCCTCTCCCTCTCAGGGGCTCACCTTCACGCTGCAGATGCTAGTTGCAGTGAACCGAGATAAGATGTGACTAGAAGACGGCGAGGTAGATCACTTCAGCTTTTGATGTGCTACTGTTTCTGAGGAGTAGAGAAGTTCTTATTTCTTTATGTAAAATAGAAAAAATCTGTAGGAAACATTAAGATTTAAGGTTTAGGTCTGGAAGGTAAATTTACATTTATTTAGCTAAGTGTTATGGTCAAAACTTTTTGTCATAACATACCTCAAGTGTTTATTTATAGTGTGTACTTAGTATAGAACAAACCCCATTTTGGTGGTAATGTTGAGTCTCAGTCGAGTTTCTGAAATGAAACATGAGGAAAGGGGGTTCAGATTTATTGAATCTGAGCTTTGTGATTTCATGGTTTTCCACCCCTCCTCCCCTTCACAATGTTAACATTTCCATCAGTGTTTGGTGAAAATTGGTTTAAGTTTCCTAATAAAAGTTTTAAATGAATATATATTTATAGTGTTACATGTTAAGTGAACATATACAACATGTTACATGTAACACCCCAGACCACAGCGGTGGCAGTTAGTAGCTGCGGTGACAGCTGGGAGCGCGCACTGGGAAAAGTCAGCCATCAGAGAAGGGAGTTACCTGGCTGAGGTAACGGTGGCCCCCCATTTTCACCACCCACCAAGAAAATCCTTCCTCAGTCAGCAGTCTCAGCTTGCATTCCTTGGTGGGCTCGGAGCAAGAACCTTTCTTTTTGGAGCTGGTTATGTATCAACCACAGGTGCACCGAAGAAAAGCTTCATAGTTGGAATAACCCGAGCATTTGGTGGAAATTCTCTTGTGTGGCAGGGACCGTAGTAGAGCCCAGGCCCAGGCTGGTAGCCCGTTCTACTTCGTGATTTTGTGTGTAGGTAAGACACCCTAAATGGCCCAGAAATGTGATCATAACTATTGATGTATTGGTGTGTACTGAGGATTCTAGGAAGCTGATAGACATCTCACGACTGTGTAAGTCTGGAACTGCCTGCACTGCAGGCTTGCCGATTCTCTGGTATGCAGGCCAGTAGTCAGCCTTTACATGTTTGCATTTTCTCTTTCATAGTGGCCAAGGGAGCGCCGTGGCTGACCCACAAAGTTAGTGGCCTTGAGCACTTTATCTGTTCTGTCTTCTTTCTTCATCTTTCAGGATGCTGCTGGCTGTATCCATCCCAGATATCTTGCTACATTGGTATCAAATCTGTGTATGTTTGAAGAGGTTATTTTAAGCACCTCAATTTTTCTCAGCCCTGGGAAGGGTCAAATAGGAGGAAAACCCTCCCTGGGTATTTGCTTTTGCAACATTAAAAAAAAATGCCTTGGTGCTAGAAGTGTTTGATGAAGCATGCTCACCCAAAACACACGCCACTGAATCCACAGTATTTCACTGGTAAGGGGCTGCATGTGCTTTGCTTTTGGAAATCTGGAGAACTTCCTGAAACAAGCGCTCATTACTCTCATTACTACAGTTAACCCATGAACATGACATTGCAAAAATGAAGCGTGTAAGGGGGAATCCTTTTTTCTATAAAAACTCAGTGTTTTGATATTTATTTTAGCAAGAATAATCAAATGCTAGAAATAATTTCAGAGAGCGGGGAAATATTTCAGGTGATCTTTTCTTATTTCTTCTCCAAAAATGTACACCTAATGCAAGGTGTTTTTAATACTGGGGTTTTGAAGGTGTTGTCTTTTTCTGGTATTCTACTATTACATGTTAAAATCCAAGGAGAAGGTATCATTAAAAGTGAAAACTAATGTAATAGCAGGGACTGTTAAACCAAAGGGGTGAGCAAAAGAAGTTTAAAGTTTGTATCTAGAAAAGAAAAGGAAGAATAATTGGTAAGATTTTATTGTGGGCATTTTTCTTAAAATATATACCTCTACTCCTAACCCCGAATATCAATGAGAAGCATGAAACAGGCAGGTCAGCCTCTACTTCTTTAGTTGAAGGAAATGTAACACTGTGTCAGGCCAGCTGGCGTTAGGATCCTAGTGGAGTGTGTGTTCAGCGTGTGTGTGTGTTTGTGTGTAGGGGTGTGTATGCTTGTGAAGAAAGGCTGTTTTGAGTTGGTGCCTATAGAAATTTGATTTTGTGAGTTTTAAAATGAGTATTTATTTGGTGACCTCTTAGGTAATTGAAAAGATGTATAATTTCCTTGTGTTTAATGAAATCTATTGTCAATGTACTAATCAACCTTGGTTTACAACATCTTGAATACTTGATCACTGAAAACTAAGAAAAAAAGTTTAAAAATGAGAATAAAGTGTGTTGGATTGAAATTACTTTGCCTCTTACGATTTTCGTTGTTTGAAGAGATGAAGTGACGATGCCAGTGTGTCACCTTCCCGCTCCCACCTCACAGTGAAGGCACAGGGTTTGGTCGGATTAAATAGGACACCGCTACTCTGAACTCCTTACAGAGTAATGAACTGCTTATATAACTGATCACTCTGCCTTGAAGCCAAATGTCTTATGTGTGAACTATTAGGGCTATAGTTTTAAGAGCCTGCAAGAGCACATTTTTCTTTGAGTCACCCAAGAGAATAATTTTAAGTAGTTTATCACTTATCTATTTCAATTCAAACAGACTTTGGGCCTGCAGAACTGTGCCCGAAATATGGTTTATGTTAGTCAGGATAGTCTGAGTTATGCTTAAAACATGCTAACCCCAAATCTCAGTGGCTTCTTGGCACAAAGGTGACTTCTTATTTCCATCACATGGCTATAAGGGTCTGTTCCACTTAGTCCCTCAGGGACCCAGATTGACAAATCCTATGGCCTTGAAGCTGCACCATCTGGAACATTCAGGGTTGGTCCTGGCTGCTGAGCAAGGGGAGGAATAACCCAGAGGAAGGCAGAGGGCCTTTTCTCCTTCTCAGCCTGGAAGTGATACCTGCCACGCTGCACTGGTCCGAACTAGCGGCACGTCCCTGCCTAACTTCTGGGATCCCGGAAGCACAGAGAAGCAATGGTGAGCAGTGGGTGGGTGTTTTTGTTTGTGTTTGTTTTTGTTTTTGTTCCCCCCGCCCCACACACACAGTTGACCATGATAGACTGAGAATGATTCCCAAAGGAGTCCAACTTGTCATTCTAAAAATTGGTGAACACAAGAAAAGTCCCAAGTTTATAAAAGAATGATTTGTTAAGGAGTGACTGTCAAAACTTGGTCAACAAAACAGTTAAAACTCCCTCTCCCCAATCTCCACTGAATTAATGTCTCTAAAGTGGCCTGGGAGCTGGTCTGAAATTGGAGGAAGAATATGAGTTTGGGTTCCACCAATGGGGAAAGAAAGCACTGGATTTTGAGGTCTCTTCTGATGGGTGGCAGAGTTTTCCAAATGCTCCAGCATCTGAGATTTTTGGGTGCAAGGCAGAAGGAGGTAACAGAGCCATGGAAATAACAGCATGACTCATGGACTGAAGCACAAAGTAGTTCTGTTTTATATTTAGAAGCCCGTCTTGAGCATTCCGTAGGTGGAAAGCAGGCTAATTGATTTCCGTTTCTCTGTCCCCCCTGCACAAAGAAACGAAAGGGTCACAGTGGCTCAAGATACATAAGCTATTGGGGCTTGAATGCACGTCTGTTGACTGCTGGGTAAAGGCTTATTTCCCGCCTTGGCTTGCTCTGTGCATTCTTCAAGGGAGCCATTTATGCAAAAAATACATAGTACCCCCTGCTCAAATCTACCACCTTCTTAACTTTGTGTGCAATTTAGGCAAAGGACTCCTCCTGAACTTCTTTAATATCTCACATTTTCAATGGAAGAGGCAGAACCAAGCTGAATATTGGGCTTTTGGGTATAGATCTATGAGAAAAATCTTCTTTTTGAGAAATGAGGAAAGAGGAGAGGTTACGATGTAGCTATCATCTGGCGGTAGCCCCAGACTCGGTAGACCTCAGCATTTTAAGAGCTATTAAAAAGCATCCAGTTCCTCTCTTGTTTTTAAAACTGTCAGCTGGGCAGAAATAGCCTCTAGAGCTTCAGTGTGTGGGTGCCAAAAACCATTTTTAATTGCACAAAGTCATTGGAAAGCAAGGAGATCAATATGCAGTGCTCACTTTTGAATTTAAATGTCAAAGTTTGATGTAGTTCCAACTCATAATATCCGTATAAATCAGTGGAATGCTAAAACCGTTTATTGGCCTGCTGGCATGGCTAGGATCCTAAGCACTGAAGAAAGAGAAACTGCCGTGGACCATGTTGTTCTAGATGCGTTCTTGTCAAAATGGTAGTGAAGCTACTTTAGAAATGAATTAAGTGGCAAGTTTGCCAGGCACTGTTTCCTGGCTCCCAGCAAAAATGTCTTTAGTTGCGCTACAGTGACACCCACTGGTCATTATGGAAAATACATGCTCTACTAATTTCTGGGCCCCTTTGGTTCCTGGACTTGAGTTGGGTGGGGCCTTAGTACCACATACATATTAAGGTGGCGAAGTCTATGACATCTCCTCCTGTGCTGAGACCTATTAGTGGATGGATTGGTTCCACTCTGGTTCTGGGTCACCTGTGCTGTTGGGGCTGAGAAGTGGAGTAATACGGGAGGAGTGGATTGAGGGAGAGGATGTAGATTCTGAGCTCCAGACTCCTAGGAGGCTGACTGGTGTGGGAGCTGAAAATTCAGAACATTTGCCTCTAGAAAAATGAGGCAGCACTCAGCACAAAAGACTTCAGCATCTGTAGCTCCCTTGGTCCTTAACTCTGCAGGGCTTCCTTAACATCTGGGGTCCGGGATGTTCTAGTCTCGGCAGGAAAAATTCTGGTTTTTTTTTTTTTTAAAGATTTTATTTATTTATTTTATTTTTAGGGAGGGAAGAGGGAGAGAGAGAGAGAGGGGGGGAGAGAAACATCAATGTGCGGTTGCTGGGGGTTATGGCCTGCAACCCAGGAATGTACCCTGGCTGGGAATCGAACCTGGGACACTTTGGTTCCCAGCCCGCGCTCAATCCACTGAGCTATGCCAGCCAGGGCAAAATTCTAGTTTCTTAAAGTCATTCTTTCTACCTCATGCAGCAGTAGGCTCACTTTGAGGCCCAAGGTATTAGCTGGCTACATATTCAACGCCACAACACAATTAGGTGACCAATGCATATATTTTTGATCATTTTCAGACAGACATATCTAGCTCAAGTAAATGTTAATGTTCAGGCCTGTTTCAGCACTTTGATGCCATCTCTCTGTATCAGGGGTTCCCAGTCAGAGGTGATTTTGCAAGTGCTGGGGACACTTGGCAATGTCTGCAGGTATTTTTGGGTGTCACAAGTTGGGGGGTGTGAGTACACAGGCATCTGGAAGGCAGAGACCAGGGATGGTGCAAAACATTCTGCCACGCACAGGACAGCAGCCACAGCAAAGAAATATCCACCCCGAAATGTCAGCAGAGGCTGAGAAATCCTACTATCTCTCTAATTACCGCCTTAAGGTTGTCATCATAGGATTGAAGTCCCCTCATGATCTCAATGTCTTCGTGCTTTTCGGTGGACATTTAACTACTTTTCACATCGAGTTAAAATTACTTTATAAAAAAGTAGAGTGGGGGTTCCCAGGGTGGGGAGTATTAGGTGAGTTTCTTGGTCCGAAGTGGGGGAAGGAGCAAGGTTATGTTTGTGGCCAGTTATTCTCACTCAGTTGGCCCCAGACTCAGTATAACCACAGTGTTTCCTTACCTGGGGGAGAGTGTAAAATGGGGGAGATATTATGTCCGGGGGCAGAGGAGTCCAGGAAAGTTTACGTGGGAAGAAAAAGCAAAAACTTCAAATAATACGGAAATTGAAGGATGGATGAAATTTCTACAGGTTGGGATGGGAAATGGGGATACACCCCAGAAGGGCAGATGGAAAGTGGAGAAAACTTCAGACCTGGAAGGTGGCTCTGACCCAGGGGAAGCTGGTGGTGGCAGCTGAGGTGGAGTGGGGAGCAGGTGGGTGGATAAAAGGCTAGAGCTTCACCGAAGACAGTAGACAGTCGTTGAAGATTACTACGTTGGAGGCTGAGATCTGAGTCACGGCGATGACAGACTGGCCTGGCGGAGAGTGTGGGTGGATGTGTTGGAGCTGGGTGAGGCTGGAGATGAGAAAGGGCCTGAGGGGCTGTTACAGCTTCCACAGCAGCTTCTAATAGTCATGCAGGCCCAAGCGAACCGGGTGGTGGACCACATCAAGGTAGTATTTTTGCCCAAAGTATTTTTAAAAAGAATTTATTTTATTTATTTTTAGAGAGAAGGGAAGGGAGGGAGAGAGGAAGAGAAACATTGACATGTGAAGGAAACATCAATGGGTTGCTTTTTGCATCCCCCCAACTGGGCACTAGGTGGAACCCAGGCCCTGACTGGGAATCAAACTGGCAACCTTTTGCTTTGCAAGATAATACTCAACCAACTGAGCCACGCTGGTCAGGGCTGCCCAAAGTATTTTAATTACCAACTGAAGATACTTGTTTTGTATTAAAATAAAATTTGAAAGTATCAAGTAGAATTGGACTAATCTGAGATCATATCAGCTCTAAAGCAAGTCCTGAAAAATAAGCACTTGAAAATCTTCGGGACAATGGAATAGTACTTGGCCATAAAAAGAAGTCATCTTACCCTTTGCAACAGCATGGATGGATCTGGAGAACATTACACTAAGTGAAATACACCAGCCAGAGAAAGACAAATACCATATAATCTCACTTACACGTGAGCTCTAATGAACAAAAAAAAAACCCCTAACAAACAAAATAGAAACAGTCTCATCAATAGAGAACAGACTAACAGCTGTCAGAGGGGAGGGGGGTTGCAGGCCTGTAAAAAAAGTGAAGGGATTAAGAAAAAAACTCATAGACACAGACAAGAGCATGGTGATTACCAGAGGAAAAGTGGGGTGGGGGAGGTAGAAGAGGTTATGGGGGAGATACATGGTGATGGAAGAAGATGACTTGGGGTGGTGAACACACAATATGATACACAGATGATGTACTGTAGAACTGTACCCCTGAGACCTACATAATTTTGTAAACCAATTCCACCCCAATGAATTCAATTAAAAAAAGAAAAGACACATCTTCTTTAGAAGGTCAACAAGTTTAGGTATGTTTGGTGTGGAATAGGAGTGGTTAAGTATTCATTCCTTCTCTCTGTCAAAACACCCTGCAGATGCTGGTGATTATAGCTTATTTCTTTTTGGAAGGCTGAGAGAAGCCTCAGATATTTTCTGGTTTGGGTCTGGCAGATGGGTTTCCATTTTGCACGCCAGCACCAGACCAGCAGTAGCGGTGGTAGC